CTTTAATTTCTTAGTTTTTAACTATTCCCAATTATGAGGCATGTTTGATTCACGAAAATGGTTATAAGAGGATAAAAAAGCACTTTGGAGGCCAAGGTGGGCAGATCACCTGAGGTCCAGAGTTCAAGACCGGCCTGACCAACATGGTGAAACCCCGTCTTTTAAAAAAAAAAAAAAAAAAAAAGGATAAAAAAGGACTATTCCAAATAAGCTGGTCGAGAGGACGGGTAGATTCACAGCTTTCAAAACACAACACAAGCAAATATGCAACATATTACTTGTAAAAAAAAATCTGGGTGTGGATAATTGGATTTTTGTACAGTTCTTTTGGGTTTTGTGTCTGAAAACCTTCGAAGTATTGGAGAATGTAATACAAGCTATGCTTTACAATGCTGCCTAATTGCTTAAGTGCAGTATGGTCAGTGTTTCTGGGCAAGGGGGACCCACCCAAAAGGCCATCCAAAAGAAGAGTCACTGGACACTTCAGTTTCCTGAATGACAGGTCCTAAATAGGCAACAACTTGCTTCCTTACAATGAGTCATTCCTGACCTCAGACCTTCTCAAAGATGGAGTAAAAGTGCTCACACCTGTAATCCAAACACTTTGGGAGGCTTAGGCGGGCACATGACGAGGTCAAGAGATCGAGACCATCCTGGCCAACATGGCGAAATCCCTTCTGTACTAAAAATACAAAAATTAGGAGGGCGTGGTGGCGGGCACCTGTAGTCCCAGCTACTCGGGAGGCTGAGGCAAGATAATCGCTTGAACCAGGGAGGCGAAGGTTGCAGTGAGCCGAGATCGCGCCACTGCACTCCAGCCTTGCGACAGAGATTCTGTCTCAAAAAAATAAAAAAGCAAGCATAATGTGCACTCTTTTGGAAGCCAAACAGACTTGGATATGAATGCTGTCATCTTAGCCACCTGCCTGAGCCTGTTTATCTGCAACAGAGGCGACCTATCTCAGGGAATTGTTAATTAAACAGGATTTTCCTGAAAATGGCCTGATTCAGGAGCCGGAACTGAGGAGACCCTCAGCACTTAGCAGCCGACTGTCCCTATCTGAGCTGGGGAAACATGAAGGGCAGCGGCGACCCAGCCCACACTTACGATGATCTTCAAGAAGTAGTTGGACTTCCAGGTCGCCCTGTCTTCCCTGGGCATCACGGCGGTGCGTCAGGGATTGCCACGCAGGGTTTAAAGACGCTGTCACTGAGGAGAGATAGGGAGCTCAGGCCTGGTCACCCCGGCACCCATCCCCCGGTCCCAGACCTATATGGAGCAGGACACGCGCAAGCGCCCGGCGGCCCGGCCTGGGGCAGCCGCTGCCACCTCGGGGAGTGCGAGCCATCACCGAGGCCCCAGGGGGAGCAGGAGAGGACTCCATGTTCCCAAAAGGCCCCCAAAGATCCCTCCAAGCTTCCCGCCTCTGGCCCCTGGCGCCGATCGGCTTGACGCACAAACCTTCCACGAGGACGCCTGGCGAGAGAAGGGCCGCAGGCTAGAGCGTTCATTTTATATGCGAACAAAGTAGCCAATCAGAAACCGCGGATAAACGCCCCCACTTATTGGCTGGCGACATCGCTCGTTCGACAAAGCCGAACGAATACAAGCAGCCATTGGATAATATTGCTGCCACTTCAGTTAACGGAAGCCGCCTTTAAGTAGGATCGTGAAGGAAGGAGCTGCCTGGCGTTGGAGGCGCTTGCTCTGAGCTGCTGCCACCTGCTGGGCTGGAGCTGCCTTCTTGTAGGCGCTAGAGTAAGCTAATTGGGAGTTCGCTCTGCCACCTGGCCAGCTCAGCAAACTAAACAGCGTGACATGGGGCTGAGACATAATTGCAATGCTTAGAGCAGAATGGTCTCTTGGTTTCTCTAGTTTGTTTTTCCTCCTACCAAAACAGAGGGATACTTTTAAAACCTGGCCGGCCGCGGTGGCTCCTGCCTGTACTCTCAGCACTTTGGGAGGCCAAGGCCAGTGGATCACCTGACACGGTCAGGAGTTCAGGACCAGCCTGGCCAACATGGCGAGACCCAGACTGTCCTAAAAATACAAAAATTAGCCGGCTGTGGTGGCGCATGCCTGTAATCCCAGCTACTGGGGAGGCTGAGGCAGGAGAATCGCTTGAACCCGGGATACAGAAGTTGGCAGTGAGCCAAGCTCGTGCCATTGCACTCCAGCCTGGGCGACAGAGAGAGACTCCGTCTCAAAACAAAACAAAACAAAATTAAAAAAACCCTTAAGTCAGCTCATCTCCTTATCTTCTCAAAACTTTCCGTTTCCTACAGAGTAAAACCTAAAATCTAAACTACCTACAAGGCCCTACCTATCTGCCCGTCATGCCCTCTATAATTATCTCAGATGTTTTCCCTCTGACTTATTTGCTTTCCAGCCAGATGATGCTCTGCTGCTTTTCCAAAGCAGGCTTCACTGGAGGGCTTTTGCATTGGCCATTTCCTCTTCCTAGAAAACTAGCCAACAAACATCCACAGAGTAATTCATCTCCATCAGATCTTTTTTTTTTTTTTTTTTTTTTTGAGGAGTTTCTCTCTGTTGCCCAGGCAGAATGCAGTGGAGCAATCTCAGCTCATTGCAGCCTTGACCTCCCAAGTAGCTGGGACTACAGGTGCACACCACCACGCCTGGCTAATTTTTTGTATAGATGGGATTTCGCCATATTGCCCAGGTTGGTGTCAAACTGCTGAACTCAAGTGATCCTCCCACCCTGGCCTCCTAAATTGCTGGGATCACAGGCATGAGCCACCTTGCCCACCCCTGAGATCTCTTTCTGATGGCCATGTGTTACTGCACGGTTAGCATCATCCTAAGTACTCTGTGCATATTACGGAAGCTCATCTTCACAGCAGTCCTCTGAGGAGATGCAGTCCTGTGTTAGCACTCCCATTTTATCGATGAGAATACTCACAGGAAGGTTAAATAATTTGCCCAGGTCTCTCAGCCAGTAAGTGATGGCTTCAGAACTGAAGTCTAGGAGGAAGTTCGAAGCCCCTGGGACTCAGTGTGCTATACAGTCCCTTCCAAACCCTGAGTCTGCCTCCCTTTGAACGCACTTTTCCAAGTATATACATATGCAAAAGGTACATTTCCAAGGACCTCTTAGCTCTGATGATATAAATATCATCTCTAATTGTAGTACATCAATATAACGGAATACCATGAAGCCATTAGAAAATGGTGCAGATCTATATTTGTTGACATGGGAAAATATCCACAAAACAAAGTGAAAAGCAAATTGCAATGAAATATAGCACATCCACGTCTAGAAATAAGATAAATCCAACATGGGCTAGAAGAATAAACCAAGTTACTCTCTTGAACTCCTGGGCTCCAGTGGTCCTTCCACCTTGGCTTCCCAAAATGCTGGGATTATAGGTGTGAGCCACAGAACCTGGTCCTGTCATTCTCTTCGGGTGAGGGTTGCAGGTAATTTTCACTTCTGAGCTCACTATAGCATGGCAAGGGTTTAGACTAGAATTCAACGTGCGGCTTTTGGAGAACCATTCGAAACAACAGGGAAGCTGTGAAGTCGCAGCTCAAGGTGAAACAAAGCTCTAGGGCAAGCTTGTCCAATCCATGGCCTGTGGGTTGCACGCGGCCCAGGACAGTTTTGAATGTGGCCTAAAGCAAATTTGTAAATTTTCCTTAAACATTATGAGATTTGTGTGGGTTTTTTTTTTAGCTCACCAGCTATCATTAGTGTTAGTGTATTTTATGTGTGTCCCAAGACAGTTCTTTTTCCAATGTGGCCCCAGGAAGCCAAAAGATCGGACACCCAGCGGGCACAGTGGCTCATGCCTATAATCCTAGCACTTTGGGAGGTCAAAGTGAGCAGATCACTTGAGGCCAGGAGTTAAAGACCAGCCTGGCTAACATGGTGAAGAGCCGTCTCTACTAAAAACAAAAAAATTAGCTGGGTATGGTGGTGGGCACCAGTCATCTCAGCTACTTGAGAGGCTGAGGCATGAGAATTGCTTGAACCTGGGAGGCAGAGGCTACAGTGAGCCAAGGGCATGCCACTACATTCTAGCTTGGGGGACAGAGCGAGACTCCGTCTCAAAAAAAAAAAAAAAAGCCAGGAGTGGTGACTCACGCCTAAAATCCCAGCACTTTGGGAGGTTGAGGCAGATCACTTGAGGTCAGGAGTTTGAGACCAGCCTGGCCAACGTGGTGAAACCCTGGCTCTACTAAAAATACAAAAATTAGCCAGGCATGGTGGCAGGTGCCTGTAATCCCAGCTACTTAGGCTGAGGCAGGAGACAGGAGTATCGCTTGAACCCAGGAGGCAGAGGTTGCAGTGAGCCAAGATACTCCAACCTGGGAAGAGTGAGACTGTATCTAAAAAAAAAAAAAAAAAAAGATTGGACATCATTGCCCTAGGGCCTAGGACTGGAGCTCTGGATCTGACCAGAGCGAAGAGGAAGCATGCAAATACGGTTATGACCATGAGGAGGCAGTAGAGACCCATCCTCAACTCAAGTAGCTGACTTCAGCAGGCAGGGGTGTAGCCCCTTGGGTGTACACCCGAGTTGTGTGGGCTCAGGCACAGCAGTTCAGCACAGGAACACAGGCAGAGGCAAGCCTGGGGTTCACATAATGGCTCTGCCCTCACTGATTGCCTTGAGCATGTAGGTTCTTGTCTTGGAGTCTCTTTCCCTGTCTCTAAATGAGTGGAAGGCCACCCACAGGCCCGTGAGTGAGGCTGCCCTCTGTAAACCCAGGTGATCACACCCCTGGAAGGCCCTGCCCATGAGGGTCAGTCCCGCTGCTCCCCAGCCTGTCCTCACCAACAGGCAAGAGCAAAGCACAGGAGGACCTGTGACCACAGGCAAGGACCACAGACCCCAGCCCCAGGATTTTGACCTTAAAGGAAACATCCACAATTTACCCTCAATCTGGTGACTCTGCTGCATCCGGGGTGGGTTTGGTCTCTGCTGGGACCATGAGGGTATCTCAGACCACCAAGAAATGGCACTAACGCAGGTGAAAATCATGGCAAACTTTATTGGCATAAATCACAGGAATTGAAATGGGAAAAGCCAGGTTAGATGTTTACAGAGAAAAAAATAAAATGAAAATCAAATTTTCAAATAACCTTTGACTCAGGGAGTAGACCCCAGAAACCCCAGTCCCTCTTGGGGAAGGTCTAGGGCAGGTCACTGTAAACAGAGCGGTAAGGCCTGTGGGTAGAAGTGGAAACCTCCAGGGGGGCCAGGCTGCCCTCCCCACAGCCACAAAGGAGGGACCCTCTTCTGAGACCCCAGCACACTTGGCTTCTGCCAGGAGGCCAGTGGAGTGGTCTGGACTCTCCCCGTGAGACCCCGGTGGGGCCCTTTTCTCTTGATCAGGAGCCCAAGGCCAGGCTCCTCTTTCATCCTCAGTCAGGAGCTCCGGGGGTTTCCCCAGAGGAGTTTGTCCGTCTGCCCCAAATCCTATCACATTCCCTTATGACCTTCTTTCCAGACCCCCTGAGTGCCGATCCCACAAGTGAACGGGGTGGAGACAGACCCAGGCTCCCGGGAGAGCACATCTGGGGAAGGGATATGCCCAGAGGAAATCAACAAGACCAAGGAGACGTCAGAGTCCTGTCGGTCAAAATCAGACACCCGCTTTCCTGAGAAGGCAGAAGAGAGAGCCCCAGAGAAGCGGTAGAGGCTGAGAGGGTTCAGAGGTTCACGGGGGAGCAGAGGCTCCTGAGGGCTTAGACAGGAAGCAGCCCCCAAAAACAGACTTTCTCCTTCTCCTGCAGAGACAGAACAGATGAGGTTCAGAATTCCAGCCCCGAAAGGGCGAGACACTCTTCAACCAGTTTCAGTGAAGAGCTTGCTGGCCTGGGAAGTAAGGGGCTTCCAAATACAGCAGTTTATAAAACAGTCCTGGTGAGCTGTGAGGTGAAAGAGCGGGAGTCAGAGCTGCTCCCAGTTCACCTGCTTGTGCCAAAAAAACATAAAATACAAATTGCTTTCCCACCCCAGCCCTCCGTACAAAGCCAACTCCACACCAGGGCCACCGTCAGCGACAGGCCCAGTGGCGGTGGACAAGGAGGAGAATACAAAAGGGATCGACTTTAAAATCTCTTCAAAATCATTTCATATACAGAAGTAAAAGCAACTCAGGCGACAGGAATCCAAACCTCAGTGTAGAAATCTATCAAAGTCAGTACAGTGTCCAGGCACGCCGTCCCGGAGATGAGGAAGTGACTATAAAACATTATTGCTGGAGAGGCTTTTCTCAGTAGAACCAGAGCGGGTATAAAAGGGGAGGGCGGGTAAAGGCAGGGGCAGTCGCCCAGGCCTAGGGCACTGGAAGGGTAGGAGGAGCACAGAGAACCTTCCATGGCCCCTTAGGTTCTCTGCCTTTGGATGGATGGATTTATGCTGGCATTGTCTGGAGGGAGCCGTGTGTCCCCCAGTACTCACAGAACAAAGACAGGTCAAGGGAGAAATAAGGATAAAAAGAGACCCCAACAGACCCTGCCTGCCCTTCCCCGTCCACCGCCCCTGGCTGCACTGCTGAAATATGAGGAAGAGATGGCTCCAGTGTGGGGTGCTGGCCAGGCCAGTTCATGGAAACGTACGTGGGCTGGGGTGGGGCCCCCAGCCTCCACCCCTGGGGAGGATGGAGAGTGAACAGCCTGGGGAGAGTTGCAGGAGGAAGGAGGGGCCCAGAGGTTCCAGCGAGGGTGGAGACAAGCAGGGAGACCCCTCACAGCCCTCTGTCCATCCTGCACCAGCCATGGACAGGAGGGTTCCAGTTTCAGTCGGGTTTACCCCGTCACCCCAGGGCGAGGTCTCTGGGTCACAGTAGCAGTTGGGGATGCTGGCTGGGGATTGGGGGGCAGAGACAGGGACAGGGCGCCTAGCAGAAGAGCTTGAGGAAGCAGTTCTGACAGTAAGGCTTGTCGTTCTGCTCCTTAAAGGTGCCCTTGTTGAGCTGCTTGAGGCAGAAGGCACAGACAAAGTGCTCGGGGTGGAACTTCTTGGCCATGGCGGTGATGCAGCGGCCGGTGATGGGCTTCTGGCAGCCAGAGCACAGCGAGCCGCGCCGCTCGTGATAGTGCACCTCACAGTAGGGCTGCCCGTCGTGCTCGAAGAAGCTGCCATTGACAAATGGCGTGAAGCATTCCTGCCAGGCGGAGAGAGGGGCTCAGAGATGGGCATGGTCGGCACACTCCTAGTGCATCCTACTTGCTAGGCATTTCATATGTGCCACGCTGTCCTAAAATAACACTGATTTTTATTTTTTGTTTTATTTACTTATTTATATTTTGAGACTGAGTCTTGCTCTGTCACCCAGACTGGAGTGCAATGGCACGGTCTTGGCTCACTGCAACCCCCGCCTCCTAGGTTCAAGCGATTCTTCTGCCTCAGCCTCCTGAGTAGCTGGGATTACAGGTGCGTGCCACCACGCTTGGATAATTTTTTGTTTCTTTAGTAGAGATGGAGTTTCTCCATATTGGCCAGGCTGGTCTTGAACTTCCAGCTGACCTCAGGTGATCTGCCCATCTCAGCCTCCCAGAGTGCTGGGACTACAGGCATGAGCCACCACGCCTGGCCTATTTTTGTTATATTAAAAATTTTTTTTTGTAGAGATGGGAGTCTCACTCTATCGCCCATGCTGGTCAAACTCGGCCTCCAGCAATCCTCCCAACTTGGCCTCCCACAATGCTGGGATTATATAATTCTCCCAACAGGGAGGGAACCGAGGCACACAGATGATGTGACTGGCCCAGGGTCATGCAGCTACTGAGTTCACAGCCTGGATCTTACATAGGTCTGACTCCTGGGTGCTTAGCCAGGCGGCTGTAACATGCTCCCAGAAACACAGGTGCTGACACTGGTCTGTGGTCAAACTCTGCATCCCAGATTCTCATTGGAGAGTCACATGCATATGTAGGTAGAAAAGGCTCTGGGAGGGGCCGGGCGTGGTGGCTCACACCTGTAAACCCAGCACTTTGGGAGGCCAAGGCAGGCGGATCACCTGTGGTCAGGAGTTTGAGAACAGCCTGGCCAACATGGTGAAACCCCATTTCTACTAAAAATACAAAAAATTAGCCAGGCATGGTGGTGGGTGCCTGTAATCCCAGCTACTTGGGAGGCTGAGGCGGGCGAATCCTGGAACCCAGGAGGTGAAGGTTGCAGTGAACCGAGATCACACCACTGCACTCCAGCCTGGGCAACAGAGTGAGACCTCATCTCGAAAACAAAAAAGGAAAGCAAAGGCTCTGAGAAGTCTTGCAGGGAACAGTGTTTCCCCAAATCATTTGGTCAGAGAGTCCTTTTGAATCCCTAATAAGCTCTGTGGGGCCCCAGAATGCAGTGGTTTTGGAAACCACCATCCACTTCTGTCGAGTCTGTTCTCACACACTCTCCTCCCTAACAGGAATGGCCAGGGCCTCTGCACAGGGCTGGAGGGGGACAAGTCTACCTTGCTCCTGGTTTGTCCCAGCCTTAGTACAAGTCCTGGCCCAGGACCTATTGGGCCCCCTGCCGGCTCCCCCTATTAACTCCAAATGAGGCCTCCGAGTTGGATCCAGAGAGCACAATGCAGAAGACGCCTCTCTCCCCACTGCCTGCTCCCAGCCCCCTCCAGATGAGGTCAGGGGCTCCTTACCCGGCACACGAAGCACTCGGGATGCCACAGCGTGTTGAGGGCCGAGATGTAGTTCTCCAGGATGGCCCGGGCACAGCCGCCACACTTGGGCGCGAACATGTCGAAGTAGTCCTTGCGGCAGTAGGCCTTGCCGTCCTTCTCGTGGAACCCTGGGGAGCGGCAGTTTTGGAGGCAGTTCTTTCCGGGTTCCAGAAGTAGAGCCACCCCGACTCCAGCCTCAGCAGCGTCTCCCAGCCCCACCTCCCCAGCCCTCCTAAGAGAAGGCGAGTCAGCCTATCGGCCCAGCCTGTACCTTCAGGACCAAAGAAGGCTCCACACTGGGCACAGAAGAAGTGTTCAGGGTGCCACGTCCGGTCAAGGGCTGTCACCACTTTCTGTGAAAACAAAGTGTGGATCAAGGCTGAGCTCCACCCCACTGGACAGATCTCATGCCCGAGACTCCCAGCAAGGCCGTCCTCCACCCACAGCTCATAGCCACACACAGCAAAACACTCCCAAGATCGGGGAGTCTCCTAATTGTGCTATGCAGGCCTCTAAGAAGGCAGAGTTGCTGAGGATGGGACATGCCAGATACACACCCTCTCCTTTACTCCTCACCCCAAGTAGACATCACAGGTTCTGCTGTGACTCCCTTTTTTTTTTTTTGAGACAGAGCCTCACTCTACTACCCAGGCTGGAGTGCAGTGGTGCGAACTTGGCTCACTGCAACCTGTCTCCCGGGTTCAAGCGATTCTCCTGCCTCGGCCTCCTGAGTAGCTGGGATGACAGGCACATACCACCACTTTTTTTTTTTTTTTTTTTGAGACGGAGTTTTGCTCTTGTTGCCCAGGCTAGAATGCAATGGCGTGATCTCGGCTCACCACAATCTCTACCTCCCAGGTTCAAGCAATTCTGCCTCAGCCTCCCAAGTAGCTGGGATTACAGGCACGCGCCACCACACTCGGCTGATTTTGTATTTTTGTAGAGACAGGGCTTCTCCATGTTGGTCAGGCTGGCCTCAAACACCCAACTTCAGGTGATCTGCCTGCCTAGGCCTCCCAAAGTGCTGGGATTACAGGCGTGAGCCAGCTGGCCCAGCCTATGACTCATTTTGTAAGTGAAGAAACAGGCTGAGAGAGGCCAGGCATTTCCTAAGTTCACAGAGCGGGAGCGGGAGACAGCCAGCATCCAACTCCATGTATCTGCTCAGGCTCCTGAGTGCTGGGAGTCTCCACAGAAGGGAATCGAGATGGGAGGTGAAGGGAGGTGGGGCTGCCAGACACGCACTGGGACAGGCTGTGGTTCAGGTGTGAGTTTGAATCCGGCCACACTGTTCCCTGGCCCTATGAGCCTCAGGCATGTGACCTCTCTAAGGCTCCAATGGCGCCCCCTGCACCCTCAGAGGGCTACGGTGAAGACGGAATGAGCCGAGCAGGTGCCGGGTAGGAACTCACATCCAGGATGGGGCCGTTGCAGTAGTAGCAGCGCGGGGAGAAGAGGTTGTGGTAGTCCTTTTCACAGTAGGGCTGTCCGTCCCGCTCGAAGAAGTTCCGGGACCCAATCTCCTCCTGGCAGTGGGTGCAGACGAAGTGCTCAGGGTGCCACGTTTTCCCCATGGCAGTCACAACCTGAGGAGGAAGATGAAATGTGTGCAGGACTGAGGCCAGCCCCGGAGCACCCCCACCCCTGCAGAGGGGCCCACTGGCCACCCCGCTCCCTCTCCCTCTCATCACCTGCCCAGCGATGGGCTTCTTGCAGGCCCCACAGACTCCTTTGGCGACTGTGGCAACCCCCAGCTTGTTCAGGTCGGACTGCAGGCTCCCCAACATGCTGTCTAGCTGGCTCCCAGGCTTCGGGGCCCCCCCAGGAGGTGAGCTGCTCCCTGTCTTCCCCTGGGTCATGAACTGTAGAGACAGGGAGGGGGCTGGTCAGGACCCCTGAGGCTCAGGGTATGGTGTCTGGCAGCACAGGGATGGGGAGACTTTTCTTCCTCCTGGACAGCTGAGCTGATGGAGACAAGAAGTACGACCTCCTCCAGGGGCCAGGAGCCCTAAAGTGGGTGTGACGTCAGCAGGACTCCTGGTGGTCGGAGGAGCCCACCAGGGATCAGAAAGGCTCAGGGCACCCAGCAAGCACAGCCAAGCCCAGGGAGAGCACGACGCGCAGGACACCCAGCCCAGCCTTGGCACTGACCCCTCCCTCGTCCTGCCCTCCAGGGCTGCTCTGCCCGCTGTCCCAAGGCCAGCCGGCCGCCCAGCACAGCTCCCCATCCGCTCTTTGCTCCAGGCCCTGGATCTTAGATAGGGGAAGAGATGAGTATAAGAAATCTTTTTTAAAAATTAAAAAAGAAGAATAAGAGACCTTGTCACTGGACTAAAAGGGAATCTAGCATGAGATCTGAGGGTTTCTCCCCGACCAGCAGGACCAAAACAGGGGAAAAAATTTTGGAGAAAAAGAGCCCTGAGAGAGAGGCCCGGGGAGAGAGGAAGGACAGGGAAATGAGCTGACCGAAGGCAGAGGACATGGCAAGGGCAGGCGGCCGGGCTCTAGCGAAGAGGCCTCACCAGGCACTGGGCCTAGGGGCCAGAATGTGGGGAGACAGGTTTCTAGTCTCCCTTCTGGAGTGGCTTCCTTGATTGGAGCCCGGGGCAGTCCTGAGGACCAGTCGAGGAAGGGACAGATGGGAGGGACCCACAGAAAGGCGAGAGGGCAGCAGACCTCCTGAGGGGGCAGGCCAAGGGCGAGGTTTAAGGCAGGACTGTGGCTACTGTGCTGGGGCTTGTGGATAAAGGGAAGGAGGGTATCTGAGTGAGTGAGTGTGTGTGTGTGTGTGTGCGTGTGTGTGTGTGCACGTGCGTGCGCAGAGTGAGACGGCTCAGGCATTAGGACAGGGAGCAGAAAGGGAGGGGCCCCTTTAAGGCCTGCCTGCATTGGGGGGAAGAGCGGGTCCTCGTCGGTCTGGCAGCCCACGGACCTCACGGTATGGGGTACAGGAGTGGGAAGGGTGGGGCCCTGCATCCCCTCATCATGAGGCTCTTCCCCAGCACTCCGAACCCCAGAAGAATCACAGAGGCAAGCTGAGGGTCCCAGGGAGGAGGGGGCAGGCAGGCTGGACAGGGGAGAAGAGCTGCTGGCCTCGGCGTCTGTGTGATGCTGGAGCAAAGGGACAGAAGGAGGAGCCAGGACAGAGATGGTTCTTCTCAGGGGAATGGGAGAGCCCGGAGGGAAGACAACCTGGGGAGAAGAAAGGAGGGAGAGCAATGAGGAGGAAATCACCAGCCCAGCCCACGGGGGTGGGGTGACCTCCCCAGGCTCCCCCTGGGCCTTCCCACTCTGCACCAAGAGTGGGGCCAGTCTTCCAAGTTCACAGAAGCAAGAAACCCCCACCCTCCCCTCTGGCCAGCACTGGGGCCAGGGAAGAACCTGGACCCAGGGTGCCTGGCCCTGGCCCAGCCCCAGTCCTGGGCATCTCCACACCACCTTCTCTACAAGCTGCCCCCCAGCCCGCTTCCCACGAGGCTGCACAGTGATGACGACGCCTTCGGTCAGCCAGTCCTGGACAGAGGGCCCTGCTGCCTCCGCTGGCTCCTCTGCCTCAGGCTGGATGCCCAGCCGCCCCTGCAGCTCCGCGATGAGCCGTTCCTGGGATGGTGTCCTGCTCAGGGTGGCAGGGTCCAGCCGGCGGCGAGGGGAGGGCTCCCGGGACATGGGGTGTGCATGGCCCGTCTCCCGGCTCCTCCTGATCACAGATCGGATCTGGGGGAGGGGAGGGGAGGCTGTCACCGTCCCACTCTGGGCTTGCACAAAGCCACTCAGGCCACACTCAGATGCCTCACGGGAGGGAGCACAGAAGAAAACCACCAAAGTACCAAGCAGAGGTGGGGCGGAGGCACGGGGAGGGAGCAGATGGGACTGGCTCCAGGCACAGGCTTCGAGCGAGACTGACCCAGCATTCGCCTCCAAGTTGGCCACTGACTGGGCAAGATACTTAACTGCCATGGGCCTCAGCTTGCCCATCCTTAAAATGGAACTACAGGATTTTTCTTGGCTTACTTCCCAGGGTTTGTGCAAGAATTATTCCAGAGGATGTAAACGGATGCCCCTGACAGGGCATATGCCTTTTTCTTTCTTGTTTTCTTTTGATTATAATAGAAAAACAGTCTTTCCTTCCAGAAACTTTTTTAACTGTTTTTTTCTCTGGTTTATATTATTATGCTAATATTATGCTATCATACTTGTTGGTAGCATTTTAGGGATTTTTGGTTTTTTCATTTTGTTTTCCATAGAGGCATAAATCTTGGGGGATTTGGGGTTTTTTTTTTTTTAGACAGTGTCTTGCTCTGTTGGTCAAGCTGAGTGCAGTGGTGTGATCATGACTCACTGCAGCCTTGAACTCCTGGGCTCAAGGGATCCTCCCACTTTAGACTCCCCAGCAACAGGGACTATAGGCATGTGCCACCATGTCCAGCTACTTTTTAATTTTTTTTTGAGACGGAGTTTTGCTCTTGTTACCCAGGCTGGAGTGCAATGGCGCGATCTCGACTCACTGCAACCTCCGCCTCCTGGGTTCAGGCAATTCTCCTGCCTCAGCCTCCTGAGTAGCTGGGACTACAGATGTGCACCACCATGCCCAGCTAATTTTTTGTATTTTTAGTAGAGACGGGGTTTCACCATGTTGACCAGGATGGTCTCAATCTCTTGACCTCGTGATCCACCCGCCTCGGCCTCCCAAAGTGCTGGGATTACAGGCGTGAGCCACTACACCTGGCCTACTTTTTAATTTTTTTGTAGAGATGGGGTCTGGCTGTGTTGCCTAGGCTGGTCTCAAACTCCTGGGCTCAAGGGATCCTCCTGCCTCGGCCTCCCAAACTGCTAAGATTACAGGCATAAGCCCCTGTGCCAGGGTGAGGCATAAAGGTTTTATTTTTCCGTCTCAAAAAAAAAAAAAAAGAAAAGAAGAAAAGAAAACCTTTACAATTACATAAAAAGAAAATAAAATCTTTATGCTTACATAAAAAGAAAATAAAATCTTTATGTTCACAGTGGCTTACCTTACTGTCGCCAGGCCGGAGTGCAGTGGTGGGATCTCACTGCAACCTCCACCTCCTAGGTACCAGCGATTCTCCTGCCTCAGCCTCCTGAGTGGCTGGGACTACAGGCACCTGCTGCCATACCCGGCTAATTTTTATAATTTTAGTAGAGATGAGGTTTCACCATGTTGGCCAGGATGGTCTCAATCTCTTGACCTCGTGATCCACCCACCTCGGCCTCCCAAAGTACTAGGATTACAGGCACGAGCCACAGCACCCAGCCAGGGGCATAAAGTTTTAATTAAGCAAAAAGCAACTAACAAAAGGCCGGGGCAGCAGCTCACGCCTGTAATCCCTGAGGTCAGGAGTTCGAGACCAGCCTGATCAACACAGTGAAACCCTGTCTTTAAAAAAAAAAAAAAGCAAATAATAAAAGTACTGTCAGCCATGGCCTATTGAGGGACCACATGCTGTGTTCTCAATACGTTCCAGGAACCATCTCATTTAGTTCTCTGGACAACCCTAATGGAAATGGCCTATTATTCTCTCCATTTTACAGATGAGAAAACTGAGGCTCAGGGAGGGGTTGCCCAAGGTCACAGAGGTAGCAAGTGTTAGAGATGTGGTTTGCATCTAGGTCTACCCGGTTCCAAGTCCATGCTTCTAAACCATTTCAGATGAGCAGCTTATCTGAAAGGAAAAAGCCTGAACATAGCAAGAGGCGGGTGAGAAATGCCAGGTCCACAGAGGCCACTGCCAAGTAGCTGACTGTCAGGTCCGGCCACGGTGTCTCAGCATTTTCTGCCCAAGCAGAGCAGACATGCACAGAGTGGGAGGCTGCATGCAGTTAGAGAGGAGCGGCCACACTCAGACCCGCCAAGGGCCGTGCCCAGCAGCCATGCTAGCTGGCGCCTGCCTGGCCAGAGGTGGAAATCCTCTCTGTGGCGCTGGGTGTGCCTGTGGCCATGGCACACAGAAGCTCTGGCTGTTCCTTCCCGGCCTGGGTGGCAGCTTCGGTGGCACCCTCTGGGCTCCTTTGGGTCTCAGGTCCTTGGGTGGGCCTGGCCACGCTTCCCTTCTCGGGCATCTTTCCACCTAGCTGCTCCCTGGTAACTGGGGCAGGGCAGCTGCTTCGCAGCCTCCCTGACTCTGGCCTTGGCCCCTCCTGCTGTAGGCCATGTTCCTCTGTGAGAGTCCAGGTCTCTGGGAAGATGGCCTGCCGGTCCACTGCCACAACAGCTGGCTCTGTTACTTCTTGGAAGCTTCGAGCAGCTCCACAGGGGGGGATTCTCTCAGGCTTGAATACCTCCGAAGCCCATGGCTCCTCCCATGTGGTAGTCACGGCCTCCTCTGAGCATGAAGGGCTGGCTGGTGGCCCCTGGGGCTCCCCAGGCTCCTGGGGACCTGTGCTCCCAGGAAGGGGTACAGTGTGGCAGCGAGGAGCCCCAGAGAGCTCACTTGTGAGGTTTGGCAGGTGCCTCCAATCTCGGCCCTGGCTCTTTGTGCCCACTGGCCCCAGAGAACTCTCCACAGAGGGAGACCTTGAGTTGAGGGTGTCAGGCATCACCCCAAGACCAGCCAAATCAAGCCAGCTGGGGGCCACAGGAAGTAGAAGGCCTCGTCCACTCTGCTCAGTACAAGGGGACTCCGGAGTGTGGCCCTGGCCTCGAGGAGAGGGTTTAGTGGTGGGTGGCAGGAATACAGATGACATGGGAGGAGGAGGAGGAGAAGGAGGAAAGGAGCCGTGTGAGGATAGAGCAGAGCTGGGCAGCAGCCCCGGGGCGCTCAGAGCCACTGTGGAGGAGCTGGTCTGAAGGAGGAAAAAGAAAGGCAGAAGGGAAAGAAGAGAGAGATGGGGGGAGTGAGGAAGGCTGCGCCCTGCAGGCAGTATGTTCGGCCTTAGGGCTCTGAGGGCCACCTTCCATATTGACCAAGGTGGCTGCAAAGCTGATGCACAGGACTGGCCCTTGAAAGAGACCGAGATCCCAAAGAGGCTTCCCTGGGCTTTCTGCGCTTAGCCCTCATCAAACCCAAGCACGAGAAAGCCACTGAGCCAGGTCTATGGGGCCACCCAGGGAGGACACGAGGAAGAAAAGACCAAGCTGTGGTGGACAAATGGGGAGCAGGTGACCAGGGAAGACAAGTAGGCACAGATGGAAAGAGAACCAGCCCCAGAGGGCTGCTGAGCCCTCCTCGGACGCCGGCCCAACTCAGCTGTGTCCTCCTAGACAATCCCAGCTTCCTACACCCCAAGTCCTCTGCATCCTCCTAGCTCCAGGGATCTGACTAAAACCAGTGCTGCTTCTCCCGGTATCAGGGCACAGGCTGTCTGAGAAAGCAACAGCCTTACAAGCACCAAGGCACAGCTCCCTTAGGCCAGGCCCTGAATCCAGCTTACTGGCTTCTGATCATGGCTGCTCGGAACCACTGGCCTGGAGCTGAACTACAGCATGTAAGGGTCACAGGCCCAGGCTCAACCCTCCACCCCAGCCACACTCTCATCTCCCACCATGAAACCCCAGCTGGAGGGAGGCAAGGAGGCACCATCAGGCCCAAGGGTGCAGGGATCCTTCACTCCCCGTCTCATATTCCCCTGGACATGCCCCAAAGGTCTCCAGCTGACCCACGTGGAAGTGTGAAGTCAGCAACTGCTGGTGAGTTCTGTCAGTATCAATCCCCATGGAAACACTGTATCCTCTAAATTAAACATCTCAGACCTGGCAGGACTGGGGAGGCCCGGCAGGGGAGGGAATGGGAAGGGTATCTCATGGAAGACTGGCCCCATGGTTTCCCACAGACAGAGCTTGTGGGAACTCAGAGGCCCTGGAGGGCAGGAGAGAAGGATGGGAGAAGGGTACTGAGGGAGGCTTGTGGATTCAGGAGCAGAGAAAGAAAGAGGGTGTTTTGAGGAGGGATGCAGCGTGGGAGATGGGGCTCCAGGGCAAATGACCTCTCAGGCATGGGCTCTCAAGTCCCACAGGGCCCAGCAGAGAACGCCCTCCCCCACTAAGAGCAGCCATCAACACAAGGTTCTTTGTCCCAGTGTCTCAGCCTCCTGATCCTCTCGACCTGAGTGGCTGGGAACACCCGGGGAGGAAGGAATGTCCCAGCTGAGCACTTCTCTGCCTTCCCAGGCTACTGCAATCCTCAGGCAGGCTGGCCTGGCCCTCCTTCGCCTGCCTCTTGGCATCATGGCAAGGCCAGGGCATGACAGGGTCCCTGGCCCAGGGGCAAGGCACCCAAAAACTGAGGGACCAAGGTCCAGCTACTCACACTGAGGTAAGGGAGGAGAAGGCTGAGGGAGGGGCGGCAGGGCAGGGAAATGCAGGGCACCTTAAAATCCGACAGTGAAGCCATCAGCTCGTCCAGCTCCCTGGTGGCCGAGGAGGCCGAGATTCGTGTCTGCTGCTGGCTGGAGGTGACGCGCTGCGGGCTGCTCATCTCGCCCTGGTTCACAGTGATGGCAGGGCTGCAGGGTGGCACAGCATGAGTGGGGAGCCCACAGCCCCACAATTCCCAGGGATCAAATTGACATCTCAGCTTGGACACTGGGGTCCCACCATCTCCAACCCCAGGGAGGCCCATGGCTCCCTGGGGACCCTTCACTGAGTGAGAAGAAGGCAGTTCAGTGGCACCAGGAAGTGCCAGGAGGATGCCTCTGGCCCCCAGCCCAACTGAAAGCTGGCCTGTGAAACAAGCTCAAGCGCTCTGTGTGTTTCCTCCACAACCCTGGACGCGGAGGCGAGGCTCCTGCAGGAATATGACAGCACTGATAAGAGCTCACATGCATAGCACTCACCAAGTGTGTCATGCACCACAAGCCAGAAACCATTCCAAGCACTTTAGGTGGATGACTGGTTCTCACCCTTATTCAGGTAGGTGGTCTTCTTGCAGCGATCCCATAGCCCTTGTCCCATTTTACAGATGGGAAAACTGAGGCTTGAGAGCTGACAGTAACTGTCAGAGCCAAGATGTGAACCCTACTGTTTGGCCCCAAAGCCTGTGCTAAGAGCTGCTAAACTCCAGGCGCTCTCGGCATGCACAACGTCTGTCCTTTCTGACTGGTAGTGACTGGCTGAAGGCAGGGATGGTATCCACGAGACTCACCACTATTCCCCCAGTGCCTAGCAAACGGCAGACACTGGTGGGAATGGGTGGATGCCAGGGCCAAGAGGACAGACATTGGACCCCGGGTGGGCTGGGCCAGCCCTTCCCTGCCCAGGGAGAGCCTAGTGGGTACTCACACAGGGCTGGGCACGGAGCTCTCCAGTTCATCCAAGAGACTCTCCACACTGGGCCGCACGTCCTCCAGGCCCCGGCCCCCATTCCGCTTAGGCTTCTCTTTCGTCAGAGGCCCAGCTTTGCCCCCCAGTGGGCTGTTATTCTCTGGGACACCATAGTGGGGGCTCAGGGCCCCAGGAAGTGGGGGGCTTGAGTTGCCCTCATCTTGCAGAGAGGAAAGAAAAAGACTGCTCAGCTCTTGAGCCCTCCTGGGATCCAGAGGTCAGCAGGTGGGCCCTGGGGCCCGGCAGACCCTAGCCCAGGGAGCTGGTCCTACCTGCAGGGAAGCCTGGCGAGTTATGCTGCACGGCATTCAGTTCCAGCAGCAGGCGGTCGAGCTCTGAAAGGTTGCTGCCCAGGGAGGTGCTCATTATGGTGGGTGAAGGCTCGGCTGATTTCTGCTTGTTAGGGAAGCTTTGAGAGGCAAAGGAAAGAAGACAGTGAGAGATGCTCTCTGGCCTTGTACTGGCTTGGCAGTTCCCAAATTCCCAAGTAGAACAAGGCAGAGGAGATGCGGAGTCTTCCCCAGCAAGAGGACAGAGGGTGGGGAAGGGATGTGGTAGGAAGAGGGGAGGAAGGAAGCCTTGCTTCAGCTCCCCAGCTACACGCAGATGCTATGACGGCCCAGAATGTCCACTGCATGGAGATGGCACTGATTAGGTAGACAGCCCATCGAGAGGCCTTCTGCAGCTTAAACCAGAAGAACCCCGCAAGGACCAGTGCCCCACTGCCTCCCACCCTGGCCAGGTCCCTGAGATTTCTGAGCAGGAGGGAAGTCGCCCGGAGCAGGCTGGGGCAGTACCTGTAGACGTGCTCCTCTTCACCCACTCGGGAGCACGGAGAGCCAACACCGTCCTGAGGGTTACAGGCACTGGAAGTTTTGGCACTGGAGCCGTACACAGGTGACGAGGACTGAGGCTGCAAGACGGAGAATGCTCAGAGGCTACCCCGAGGGGAGAAAAAGGAACGGGGCCAGGAGCAGCCCAAGTCACCCCCAGGAGGCTCCTGTCCACAGCTAGTCTCACCAGGGAATTTCCACAGTCGGGCCAGGAGACCTGTGATTAACCACTTGGTCACTGCTCCACTCACATGGTGGGTGGGAAGAGCAGCATCTGGTCGGGGCAGGCCGACTGCAACAATTCCATTCCATCCACTCCCCAGGCCCCTGCCAGGTAAGCTCCCTCTGCCCCACAGCCTCTTCAGCTTTCCTTGCCCCTGTCCCCACCTCACCTGCTGGTGGATGAATCGAGAGCTGCTGGGCTGCCACTGGTCTAAGGGGTCAAGGATCGTGCCATTGAGGGCCTCGCTGGATGGGGGTGGGGGCACAGGGGGTGGCACGGCAATCTCCTGGTATGTGTGGTTTCCAGTTGGGTATGAGTAGGGGGTCTCCTCTGACAAGAATACAGGCCGTTTGGAGATGTGGGAGGTGGTGGACTCCAAGTCCGCCAGCAGGGCGTCTGCAAAGAGAAGGTGCGGGGAGCAGGTGAGACTGGGATCCTGGGGACTCTCTGGTGGCAGGGCCCTCCCTGCCTGCACCTCAAGAGTTAATGCCTTCCAGCACCTGCCCCACCCATGGGAGAAATGACCAGCCTCGGGACAGGAAGTCACCAGCCCTGACCAGCCTAACCAAGAACTGGCTCCCAAAGCTGACTTCTTCTGCCTGCCCAGGACTGAAGGTGCTCTAGAGGCGGGCTCTGGGGCTGCCCGTGGGATCTCCTACCTCTGGGAATCAGGCACCTGGTGCTGCGTTCCCTCCTGATAGGGCCGCGCAGCTGCGAGCGAGAAGTGCCTGCCTGGAACTCTGAATCCGAAGGGCAACACGCAGAGAATGGGTGGGAGGGGCCCCACGTCACAGGGAGGGGCCCTGGCAGTGCCAGGCCCTCACTTGATTTCCAAGAGCTTAGGCTTTCTCAGCCCCAGACTGGAAGGGCACTCAGGATGCCCCCTGCCCTCCTGGCCAGGTGGAAGCAGAAGCCCAGGTACCAGGCTCCTCCTGAGGCTCCAGGCTTACGGAGTAAGGTGTGCCGGGAGGTGGGGGCTGGAGTGAGGCTGGTGCAGCGGTCCCCACCCCCTCAGTGAGCAGGGGGCAAGACTGCTCCGTTGGCTGTTTCTGCAGAAGTCTGGCAAGCAGCCCGGCCCCAGAGGCTCCAGGGCCCCACTGTTCTGCTTTTAACAGCAGCAAAGGAGCCAAATCAGCCCTCCAGTGCAAGCTTCCATTACCCTGGTACCTGGCAGCCAACAGGGGGGCACTAGGTCTCCCCAGTCCCCAGAAAAGAAGGGTATAGAGGGGCAGGGGTAGGACTTGCTGACTCCCCACCTCCTCCGTCCCCTCCTGGGACCCTCAAAAGCCCACGGCCCAGACAGCCTAGGCAGACGGTCCTGTGGCCCTGGATGCCACACCCTCATTCCTGCCCCATTCACAACTTGTTCGCTGTCAGCTCCCTGGTAACCTGCTGGGTCCACAGAGCTGGGAGCTCCATTCCTAGTCCTTGGGATAATAAACATCTAAAAAGCAATGGCTGTGTTTATTGCCACTTATTAGTACCAGGCACACTGCTAGGCATTCTAGCAGTGTGTACACAGTCTCCATTAATCCCCCTAATACCCCGTGAAGCTGGAATGCTGATTCTCCCTGCATGGATGAGGAAAGTGGGCTTGGAGAGGCAGAGGTGTTTGCTCTGAATAACGAAGGTGGTGAGTGGCATGATTGTCTGACTCCTCAGAAGCCCCAAACCCCAAAAACCCTGGCCTGTAAGAAGCCACTATGACTACCAGATGACACCACACTTAAAGTGTTCAACTTCCTGAATGTTGGAGGCCCAAGCTGTGAGGCTTTCCAGTCTGATCCTTCCTTCTGGCCTTGCCCCCAGCCCCCCAACCTGTATTCAGAGGAGGGAAAAGAGAAGCAAGGCCCTCACCCAGGGCCTCTGTCGATGGGGCCACACCTTCTCCCAGTTGCCTGTCCTGATCTACCCTCAAGGCTGGCCACACCTACCCCAGGCTCCTGGCTCCTGCCCAGACAGACAGAAAGTATGTTCCAAGGCCCAGGACCCTGGGTCTGGTCTCCTGACCTCCGAAGAAGGTTAAGTCCTACAGCGGCCCCGCCCCCGAGTCCGGGTCCCATGAAGGACGTCTGGCTTCCTGTCTTTAGCAAACCGGAACTAGAGTTGGTAGGTATCTAGGTAACAGCAGAAAAGGAACCAATGTCCAGGCTGATCCCCAGGGCCTCTCCAGGGCCACACCTGCCGTCTTGGCTTCTCATGGTGTCCTCATTTCCTCTGGGCCCAATCAGTGATGGGTGGGTCCCTTTCTCCACCACAGGCAGGGCCAGCTAAAATACCCCACAGGGCTCCCCAGAATAGGCAGTGAGTGCAGCCCTGGTAGGGGGCAGGAGTGGCTGCCATCCTTGAAGGCCCACTGGGGCCGGGAGCTTCACCTGTCTTACCTGCCATCCTCTTCACAATGCCACTAGCATGGATGGCAAAACTGCGGTTCAGAGGCAGAGTCACATCCCCACACTGCCAAGGCTGACTGAAGTGACAATGCTGGACTCTGAACTCAGGTGTCTTGGGCTGCAAACACCCAACAGAAGACAAACAGGCTTCCGCGTCAAACATTTTGAATCAGGGACTCCACCAAACGCCCGCTCCACACAACATGATTTTAAGCCTGGGCTTTTGGTTTATGGATTGGATTCTGGTTTATGATGTGAACAGGCTCTTTTAAGCACAGATCCATAGGTTGGTAGAGTGTTGGTGACAGGATGTAGTCCTGGGGCACAGAGACAAAAGATCACTCATTCTGAGGTCGAGCCAGACCTGAGTTCAAATGCCAGCTCTCCTCTTTACTATTCATGCCACACGGCAAATCACTTAGCTTTTCGGGGCCTGTTTTCTCAGGAAGCTCTTGAATAATTCTGATCTCAAAGTACTGGTATGACGTTTATAGGGGCTAGCAGAGGGGCTGGGCACGGTGGCTCAGGCCTGTAATCCCAGCACTTTGAGAGGCCGAGGCTGGTGGATCACGAGGTCATGAGTTCAAGATCAGCCTGGCTAACATGGTGAAACCCCATCTCTACTGAAAATACAAAAATCTGCTAGGTGTGGTGGTATGCGCCTGTAATCCCAGTTACTCAGGAGGCTGAGGCAGGAGGATTGCTTGAAACCCAGGAGGCAGAGGTTGCATTGAGCTGAGATTGCGCCACTGCACTCCAGCCTGGGTGACAGAGCAAGACTCCATTTCAAAACGAAAACACAAAATTAGTCTGGCATGGTGGTGGGTGCCGGTAATCCCAGCTACTTGGGAGGCTGAGGCAGGAGAATTGCTTGAACCCAGGAGGTAGAGGTTGCAGTGAGCCGAGATGGAGTCATTGAACTCCAGCCTGGGTGACAAGAATAAAACTAAATCTCAAAAATAAAAATCAAAACCAAAGTGTATCATGTCCCAGCCTAGGCAATACAGTGAGATCCCATCTCTACAAAAAATTTAAAAATCAAGCTGGGCATGGTGGCTCATGCCTGTAATCCCAGCACTTTGGGAGGCTGAGGTGGGCAGATCACAAGGTCAGAAGTTCAAGACCAGTCTGGCCAACATAGTGAAACCCCATCTCTACTAAAAAATACAAAAAATTAGCCAGGAATGGTGGTGGGCGCCTGTAGTCCCAGCTACTTGGGAGGCTAAGGCAGGAGAATCGCTTGAACCCAAGAGGCAGAGGTTGTAGTGAGCCAAGACTGTGGCACTGCACTCCAGCCTGGGGGACAGAATGAGACTCTGTCTTAAAAAAAAAAAAAAATTAAAAATTAGCTGGGTGTGGTGGCACATGCCTATAGTCCCAGCTATTCAGGAGGCTGAGGTGGGAGGATCACTTGAGACCAGGAGTTGGAGATCAGCCTGGGCAACATAGTGAGACCCCATCTCTAAAAAAAAATATGTAAAAATTAGCTGGGTGTGGTGATATGTGCCTGTAGTCCCAGTTACTCAGGAGGCTGAGGCAGGAGGATCGCTTGAGCCCAGGAGGTCAAGGCTATGGTGAAATACAATTGCACCACTGCACTCCAGCCAGGGTGACAAAGCGAGACCCTGTCTTAAAAAAAAAATACAGAGCATAGATGTCAGGGAGAAGGCACATCATTATTCAGTTTTCTCCAAAGTTTATTTAAGGGACAGAGGAAAACCCCAGCAAGTCCGTCCACCAGCCACAGGGTCTCTGGTATGGCTTCCTCCTCCCTCTCCACCCTTCATCCTTACCAGGCAAGGACTAGGCAAGAGGGGTAAGGGCTGGTGTCTCCAAATCCCCCACAAACACCTCAAGAAAGAGAACCAGAAATATAGAAGGCGAGTCAACAGTAGACTCCTAGCTTTACTTTTATTTCCAATGGGTGCAAATATCTGAGACTTCCCCATTCGCTGTAAACGGTTAAGGCCCAAAGTCCCCTTGCAAGCTCAGCAAACGCCCCCAGTGGCGTGAGCAAACAGAGCCGGTAGACACTGCGCACAGGAGTCCACTTGAAGGCGCAGTCCCATCCCAGGGGGTTCCCTCAGTGTCCAGCTCCAGCCTTTCCCCTCTGCTGTAAATATTCCTTCTACTCATACCCCAAGGAAGGTGTCAGCCTACCCACTCTTCAGAGAAAATGGTACTCACTGAAACGATTCAAGACCAGGAATACACCCTCCCTGCCCACATGCTGGGAGGACAGGTTCCAGACACTCTGCTTGGAAGTAGTCGGGAGCCATCATTCAAGCTAAGGAAGGCCTCAACTTCCTGGCATTACTCTAAGTTACTGGGTCCAGGCCTGAGTCCCTTTAAACCCAAGCCGCCTTGCAGGAGGAAGCTCTCTCTGGGGCTTCCCATCTGCTTTTTGGAGGAAACCCACCCTGAATTCTGCAGGTTTTCTATCTCTCTGGGCCAGCGAAAGTATGCAACATGAGGAGGTAGGGCAGGCTGTCTCGAGGCTGGCGGCGGGCTAGGTGCAAAGTCCCCAGCAAGCCCTGGGCAAAGGCCACGGAGCAATGTCCTGGCTCAGCCCTGGCGAGGAAGGGGTGCAGACTGTCTGCCGCTGCCCACCAGAGGGCACCATTGGCCCATCGGCTTCCTGCCACTGGGAGTAACCAAAGATAACCTCGTGCAATATTGGAATTTTCTAGCTGGGGAAGACTGGGGAGCCCCTGGCCCTGGGTGCGGTGTGGAAGTTTCAATCTTGTGGAGGAACATAGCAAGCTACTAGGAGGAACACAGGTGGTCTGGGTACACACTATCACTTGAAGGTGCACCCAAGGGTGACATGCAGAGCTCTGGAGAACGAGAGGGGCATGGGCCCTGTGCAAATGCAGCACCCCATGTGCCCCCGTCTCCACCCCACAGCTGTGCCTGGTTGGAGCAACACCGTGGAGCAGCTGCAGCTTTGGGCCAGGAGGCCACTGTGGGGCAGGTGGTTGGGCAGGCACCTTCCCAGGCCCCAGCAACTGACTGAGTGTAATCCTAGGACTGGTGGGAGCCGCAGGAATGTTAAGGTGCAGACACCCTCGGCCCACTGCTCCAAGGAGGAGGGGACCTAGAGGCCGAGGCCGGTTTGCCTGCATTCCAGGGCAAGTGCTGCGCCCCTCACATTCCTGTACCCACCCAGGGGCTCAGAGTGGAAGGAAACCTGGGTCTCCTTGTACTACAATGGGGGGATGTCCCTCAGACCTCGGCTCTGGGGACCCAGGTTGATCCACTGACACAGGGCACTCAATACCAGATTAAAGAGGATCAATTAAACCCTTGCGCCCCCACCCCCAACTGCAGCACAGAAACAAGCCAGGCTTCTTCCTCCTACCCAAGCCCCTGCCACTTCTTACTGTGTGATAAAGACTATCAAGACCAGAGGACTGAAGCTGGAAAGGTGCCAAGAGAGCTGAGATAAAGGTCTATCTCTCTGAGGGGAGGGAGGACCCAGAGCAATTCCATTCTCTCTTCTCAGGCTCTGAGGACTTTCAATGTTACAAACTTGTAAGGTGAATCCTGAGTCACCTGGACTCCGCTCAATGGCTGAATTGCTCAGATAGGCTGCTTAACTGCTCTTGTGCCTCAGTTTCCTTGTCTAACCAATAGGAATTCCACCATTATACTCACAGGATTGGGACTATATGAGAAAAATAGATACAAAATGCTGACTTGGAATAAAGTGCTGTGTGAATAGAGCACACAGGAAAGAGGAGTTGCTAAGTAGACACAAGCTTCTTCCCAGAGAGGGGTTGAGCCCCAGGAGGGGAAAGAAATCCTCTCACCATCCTATCCAATCCCTGAGGGCAAAGGGTGCTGCCATCTAGTTCCGGATCAGCAGGAAGCAGGTAAATGTGGGCATGAAGCCAGCTTTCCCATCCCTTCCTGCAGTTTACAGGCTGCCCTGCCACACCAGCCCCAGTGCCAGGGCCCCTCAGCTCCTGCCCACCTCTGCCACTGCGGACTCCTGCACCAGCAGCACCAGGCAGAACTCAGAGGTAGGATCCTGTGGCCCTGGGGCGGGGGCCGTCTTGCATTCTCGAGGCCTGGCCTGGGCGAGGCCCACAGAACAAGGTCTTTTCCAGCCGCTTACCCGCCTTCTTCTGCAGGCCAGTTTCACTCAGGTTTTGTCACCCCAGGCAGGGAGCAGCCAGCGCAGCTTCCTTAGGAGCTGACAAGCCCATGGAAGGAGCAGCAAACACTGCCCTGAAAGCTCCGGCACCAGCAGCAAGGGCTGCCGTAGCACAGGGGCCTTCCTGGAATCCCTGGGCCAGCTGTCCATCCCTGCCATCCCATAGGATACCCATACTCCCAGAAAGACAAGTCCCCACACAAGCCTAGCCTTCTGGCCTGTCTATCCTGTTGGGTCCAGAACTCTGGACAAGGGAGGTTCCCAGCCCCCTGCTGACCACCTGGGCAGCCTTGGTAGCTTCAAGTGTCAGAGAAGCTGCCAGGCCTCCTCCAGCTGCCCATGCTTAGGGATATAAGCAGTGAGCAGGGCTTGGCCCTTCCAAGGAAGGAGCTATGTGAACACCAGGACCAGCTCAGGGATGGTCTCATCTCAGCCCCTCTGGTGAGACTCTTCCAGATTAGGAAGGGGACAGAACAGGAAGGTGGGTCTCCCCACTCCCAGCTCCCGGCTCCCCACTCCCCTGGCCCCAAGTCCTCGTGCCCTCCCCCAGCCTGGAGCACTTGAGCAGTTAGAGCAGAGGTAATCTAATCCGCAGCGGGGTGCTTTCACTCGGTGAGTAAGTCCCCAGGAATGGGGAGCTGGGTATATTTATCCTGATAACCGTCCTTCTTCAGTAAGGACCAATCCACAATTAGGCCAGATCCGCTCTGCCCCACCCACCCCCAGCCCAGGGACCTAGGGCCTGGACACGAAGTAGGATTCAGTCTCCTTGAAGGGCCTTCCCTGCCAATTTGGGTTCTTGTCAACTGTCTCCTCTCCAAGAATTAAGCTCCAGAGAGCAGGGGCCTTGTCTGTCTTGTTCGATGCCATGTCCCCAGCAGCTAGAATAAATGGCTGAATGACAGAGGGGCTGTGAAGAGGAGGAGGATGGGGAAGCAGCAGTGAGCAGAGAAAACAGCCAGTGTGGAGGAAGGGAGCAGGGACGCCCTGATCCCAGGCCTTCGGACCAGTGAGGGCCCATCAGTGGATCCTGTCATCTCTCTGGATGTCTCCTCTATCAAGAAAATGGGCAGGACCCAATTTGTCCCCATTCCTAGTAGCGCACTCTCAGGAGGAGATGATATGATTATGGGTGAGATTTATATAGCAACTTTGAGCTCTTCTGAGTTAGTCTAAATCCAAGATTCTGCTATTATCTGAATCCCAGACAGGAACTGCTCTCCTAAGAGGATGGATGAGAAACGATCGATACCATAGTGTCATTTAAATATTTAATAGCCATGCCTGGAGGTTACAAAGACTCAGCCACCAATTCTCCTCCGCTGACTCATGCCTCACTCAACAGGAACTGCATTTTACCCTCACGGCCCTGAAGGAAGTGTGGGCTGGGGGGTGACACACAGGAAACCAGGGGAGAAGACCAGGGAAGAGTTTTCCAGTCAGACGCCAGGGGAGGAGGGGGTGGCCATTTGGTGGTTCTTCCCTGGGCTTCCTACATGCCTAGCACAGGAGGGTGGCTTCCTGTCTGCTGACGAGCTCTTCCTCGCAGAGGCTGACAACAGGAGTGTGCAGGCAGGCTGGCTTTATTAGCTGCCTGGCTTGTGCCCAAGGTCACAGGGTACAGGTAACTGGAGACCCGAGAGAATAAAGGCTGCTAGGCAACTCCAGAAGTCACCCTGAGCTCCAGCCAGAAGCCCAACTGTGCCAGGCCCATCTGCACCAGGCACCCACACAGGGCCCACCCATCAGGCTCCTGGCTGCCGCCGCTTCCCCATCAAATTGAGCTCCAGGAGCTTAAGCAACAGCAGGTGAGACAATGAGGAGGCTGCCCAGGTTGACTCTGAGCACGTCTATGCATCTGCCTTGGGCTATAGGCATAGGAGTTCAGGCCAGGCTGGCCGAACACCACATTCTTTTTTTTGAGATGAGGCTTGATCTTAGCTCACTGCAGCCTAGAATTCCTGGGCTCAAGGGATCTTCCTGCCTCAGCCTCGTAAGTAGCTAGGACTACAAGCACATGCCACCATACGCGGCTTTTTGCATGTTTTTTAGAGACAGGGTCTCGCCATGTTGACCAGGCTGGTTGTGAACTCCTGGCCTCAAGCCATCCTCCTGCCTGAGCCTTCCAAAGTGCTGAGATTACAGATGTGAGCCACTGTGCCCAGCCCCAGAGTCTCTCTCATATTGTAAATAACTCATCTCTCCTGTCCAGAATAATTGGGCCCCTCCCTCTTCCAGAGGTCCCAGAACATTGTGAACACATTTCATTGGTCAGATGTCATCTACCTCTTTAGGTCACCCAGAGACACGAGACCTTTTAAGGTCAAATCTAGGGCCCCATTCCTGGCCCAACTCAGTTCCTTCAATGGGTAAAACCCAGATTCACATACCAAAAGACAGCCTCAAAACCATGAGACCTATGAACTGGAAAGGTTCTTAGCTGTTCCAAATCTACCCTAGTCTATTCCTGCAATCTGGGCTCTTCCAGGCAAGCGGATCTGTTGCAGAGCAGGACGGCTCCTTGGGCCTCTCACCCCTGCTAATCACCCGCAGAGGTTAGGAGGGGCTCAAAATGAGTCATCGTCCCACAGAGACCCGAACAAAAAGTTCAAAAGTTTGCCTGTTCCTGAGATGAGCTGCAGTTTTTTTTGCGATGTTTGTGGATTTCATAGCATTTCAAAACTCACTCTTTGGTGGTCGGGTTCTCTCTAACAGCCCGAGACAACCATGGAACCCACCAGTGCCTTCCCTTTTTTCAGGGGTCAAGGTCATTTCCCTCAAGTCAGCTCTCACTTGGCTAACTTCCCCAGTTCTCTTTTCTAAGTCCCTTTAATAGGTCCCACATTTAGCTGGTCACCAAGTCACATCAAGTCTTCCTTCTCGGGGCCTCTCCCTGTCATCACCTGCCTCCCTTTCACTTCATCACACACAGCCAACGACTTGGACAAGTGTCCGAATCCATGCTCAGTGCCTTCCTGAACCTGACTGCAGCCCCATGCCCAGTGATCCCAATCTAACCCTTCCTGCAGACACCATCAGTCTGAACTTGGCTCCCAGCTTTGATGCATGCCTCACACTTCACTCTGGCCTCTCTCACTAGACTGCAGGCCCTCTGTGGGCAAGAACTTCCACACTCTCCTGAACCCTCAGAGCATGGATACCCTCATAGGCCTCTTTTTTGTTTTTGAAATGGAGTCTTGTTCTGTCACCCTGGCTGGAGTGCAGTGGCACAATCTCGGCTCACTGCAGCCTCTACCTGCCAGGTTCAAACAATCCTCTTGCCTCCCAATGCTGGGACTACAGGTACACACCACATCCGGCTAATTCTTGCATTTTCTTAGTAGAGTCGAGGTTTCACATTGTTGACCAGGCTGGTCTCCAACTCCTGACCTCAAGTCATCCACCCACCTCAGCATTCCAAAGTTACAAGCATGAGCCATGGTGCCCGGCCCTCACAGGCCTCTTAGAGGGGCTTCAAAGAATGTTATGCAGAGCAAGGAGCAGAGTTACAATACTCACCCACTGATGCCCTCTCTGCCTATAAAACGAGGTCAGAACTCCTGGAGATGGCATTCTGTCCTTGACCCTCTCAGAAGACGGCCCCAACCTGACCTTCGCTGCCTCCTCGGCCTCACTGCAATCTACATCTCCAGCCCAACTGGGCTCCCCCTTCCCTTTTTGCCAGTGTGCCTTTCTTCACAATACTGAATGTGCCCCACCACTACCTCTATCCTCTTTCACCTAGTTTGAGTCTCTCACACAAGGATATCCATACCCCCAGGGAACAGACGGAAGCCAGGGGTACAGGAAGCCACGTCAGGACAAACCCAGAACACAGTGAGGATCAAACGTACTTGGGGCAAGAAATGTAAATCATTGTCTTAGAACAAACAAGGCTACATTACAGAGTGATATGCAAAATGCAAGTGAAATTGTAAGATAAAAAGAGAGGCTTCAAGGCCTGCACGGAGGCTTCTACCTATAATCCCAGCACTTTGGGAGGCCAGGTAGGGGGATTGCTTGAGCCCAGGAGTTCAAAACCAGCCTGGCCAACATGGAGAAACCCCATCTCTACTAAAAATACAAAACTTGGCCCAGCATGGTGGTGCATGCCTGTAATCCCAGCCTCTTGGAAGGCTGAGGCAGGAGAATTGCTTACACCCAGGAGGCAGAGGTTGCAGTGAACCAAGATTAAGCCACTGTATACCAGCCTGGGTGACAGAGCAAGACTCTGTCTCAAAAAAAAGAAAAAAAAAAAAAGGCAAGAGGATGTTTTCCACATGTTCTTGGGGACTTTGGCAAACAATTTTAAGCAGCACCACAAAGCCCACACTTCGACACATAAAACCAACCCTGCCCATATCACAGATTTGGCTGGTCCAGTGTCGCTGGGAGCCGGGACAGTCGCACAGTTCTTTGGACACCCTCCTGTCATCCCACCTGCATGGCAGCGTGGTAGAGTGGAAGGAATGGGCCATCTAAGATGAGGAAGATGGGTTCAAACCCCCCCACTCACCAGCCTTCATGACCAGTGACCAGATTCTGGGCTTCAGTTTACTCAGACACCTCACAGCACACACAGTGAGTAATGGATGAAAAAGTATGTGAAAGCCATCATGGCAGCTGGGATAAAAAAAACGTGAGCCTCCCACTATGACACACAGGAGACACTTAGTCAATAGATCCACATCACTGATTTTCATCTCCCTTAAGGCTGGCAGGGGGAGGAGTCGGAGCCAGGGACTGCAGCCAGGGATCCTGGGAGCTGTGACAGGTTGTCACTAACTCAGCCTTCTTGCTGAGCAAACCACTGACCTCACCCTCTGTGTCTCGGGTTCATTCCAAGTCCTCCTTGGAGAACATCAGCTGAGCCCAGGCGCCTCCAACTCACTGCCTAGCAAGGACAGAGGCAAGTGGGGAAGCTGCAGGGCCCCAGCCCCTCCACCCCCACCCCATCCCTACTGCTGCCGGGAAATCACAGCTGTCTGAGAGGCCTATGGCTTTGAACCCAGAATCGTGACAATGGAAGGAACTGCCCAAGCCCCACAGCAGCTCCCAGAGGAACCCAGGAGAGAGCAGCCTCTGCTCCTGCCACAGAAGCTCTGAGCCCAGCAGTGTCAAACAGGGATCCAAAGATGGGGCTGCAGGGCCAGAGAGCAGCTAAGGAGGGGGTGAGGAGTGGAACAACCCTACCTGAGCATCTACCGGGAGCCCAGCCTTGGAGCCCCATTTGTTGCCAGGGATTAGAAAGCAGATGTCCAGAGCTGTCTCATGAGGCCCCACAAGGACAGCACCACCTGACTGCAGAGCTCACCCATGTTCTTCCCAGGACACCCCATAAGGAATGTCCTCCTTGGAGAACCTCCTTTCAGCAGCTGTCCCTCCTTCTGCCGGTCACCACTCTCCATTCCCATGACACACACCCCCAGAGCCTTCAAAGGACTCCAAAAAGGCAGGCTGCTGGGTCCCGCTCCATGACTGCACACTCCAGGTCTCCTGTTCTCTTTCCCTTCTGCCTCCTCCTCACCCTTGGCCTCAGGAGCGGCCTTGAACCACAGAGGAGCTCCTAGTGGTGGTACAGGCAGCTCAAGAATTCAGAGAAGGCTGGAGCACTCCATGTTCTGGTCTAACTCGTGGATGTGCAAGGTCAATGCACACAAGTATTTTCCCCCGTGCTGCACTGCTGGTGGTCCCATCTGAGCCCCAGGATGCAAGATGGGCCTGACCCAGGAACCAATCTCTGACCTCAAAGAGATGACATCAGAATCATTAGGAGACACACAGGCAGAAAGGGACTCCACTGTAGGCAACAAACCGGGCAATAGGGGACAGACAGCAAGACAGACAGCCTAGATTTTCCAACCCACAGTCAGCCTCGATGTTCCTTCAATGGACAGCCACATGTCTCACCCAAGCACTTTTTATTTTTTGAGATGGAGTCTCGCTCTATCGCCAGGCTGGAGGGCAGTGGCTCAATCTCGGCTCACTGTAACCCATACCTCCCAAGTTCAAGCGATTCTCCTGCCTCAGCCTCCCAAGTAACTAGAACTACAGATGTACACCATCATGCCTGGCTAATTTTTGTATTTTTAGTAGAGCTGGGGTTTCATCATGTTGGTCAGGATGGTCTCAATCTCTTGACCTCGTGAGATTGACCGCCCACCTTGGCTTCCCAAAGTGCTGGGATGACAGACGTGTACCACCACACCCAGATCCAAGTATTTTTTCTACAGAGCAAAAAAAGTAGGTAGTTACATGTCTTGCCCTCTGTACTGCGGTTTTTACCTACTCTGTGTCTGGGCACAAGAGGGCTGCAGAGGGCACAGCACGCTGGAGAAACACAAGCCTGAGCATAGAACTGTCCTCAAGCACTGGCTCTCAACCCTTGATGTGCAATCAATCAGCCATAAGGTGTGCCACCAGTCTTCGGCTAATCAGCATAAGGTATGGACATTTGCAACCCATTTTTTTTTTTTTGAGACAGGGTCTCTGTCACCCAGGCTGGAGGCTAGAGTACAGTGGCACAATCACAGCTCACCTCAGCCTTGACCTCCCGGACTCAAGCTATCCTCCCACCTCAGCCTCCTGAATAGCTGCAACTATAGGTGTGTGCCACAATGCCCAGCTGATCTTTTAATTTTCTAATTTTTATTTATTTATTTATGTATTTGAGACAAGGTCTCGCTCTATCACCCAGGCTGGAGTGCAATGGTGTGATCGTAGCTCACTGTAGCCTCAAACTCCTGGGCTCAAGGATCCTCCTGCCTCAGCCTCTCAAAGTGCTGGGATTATAGTCATGAGCCACTGTGCCTGATCATTGCTTATGTATTTATTTATTTATTGAGACAGACTCTTGCTTCTGGGTACCCAGGCTTGGGTACAGTGGCATGATTATGATTCACTGCAATCTCTGCCTCTGGGGTTCAAGTAATTCTTGTGCCTCAGCCTCCCAAGTAGCTAGAATTACAAGCATGTGCCAATATGCTAATTTTTGCATTTTTAGTAGAGATCGGGTTTCACCATGTTGGCCAGGCTGGTCTCAAACTCCTGCTGGCCATTGCTTTTACTTTTGAGAAAATAAACTGAAATGGGTTCAAGATGACTCCATGACCATCAGCCCCACCCACATGTGTTCCAACGCGTCTACTTGAGTGAGAGAAAGGGCTACAAAGTGCACAGAATGCCAGACACACCCTCGGTGTCATCTGAAGGCTATGTCCTGGCAGCGTACCATTTGAAACCACTATCATAGATGGTCACGAGCTCTGAGAAGTTGGGGAAGGAAAAGGAGGGGAGTCAGGCCAGCTGCTCCCAGCATGCTCCCCAAGTTGACCCTCAGTGACCCTTTTGTCTCCCTGGAAGCGTCTGCATCATCCAGCCCTGGGTCCTCGTGGGCTCACGAGCTTTGGAAGCCACCTGCTGGTTTCAGGGCTCTAGGAAATGCTGGGTCCCCTTGACAGCCGGTGTCACCACAGACAGCTGGCACCTCCTGAATAAGGGGTGGTCTCAGGAGGGCCCGTCCCATGCACAGAAGCTCCAAGTCTTGTCTCAGTTCGCTGACCCCACTGAGCTTTGTAGGCACCCCAGGCACAACGGCAGGCAGCAGGGCCCTCGTGGGAAGGCATCACAGAGCTATAAAGGAGGAATGCCCCCAGCCACTGTCCTGAAGAGGGCAAGGCCAATTCCTCCGGAGGCCCGGAGCCTCGCCAACTCTCCACATGGGGAAATCTGCCTCTTCCTGGACAGAGAGGAAGCAGATGGAGGCTGCAGAGTCACACTGGGAAACCACAACAGAAAAAGGAGAGAAGCTATTTTCCTGAAACAAACAGCATGCAGGGAGACCTCTGCGCTTTCAGTCTGGCTGGCAGAGCTCACATGTAGGGATACCAAGGTGCAGGGGAGAGGGAGAGGGTGGGAACAGTACTCAAACGAGACCATGTAGTTGGTCTGCAAGAAGCCCACCAACCCCAAAGCTGAGAAAGCAGGTCAGGCAGACACGCCAAGCTTCATGGGTAAACCGAATGGAGGTGGGTATGCAGCAGGGAGGGTTCCAGGGCTCCCACCAGACCAGGCTTGGCTAGGCTGGCCTGCCTCCACTGTGCCTGGCTGGCTATGCCAGGAATTGATGGGGGAAGGGGTACATACCTTACCCCTGGTTTGAATTTTATTGCAGGAGACACTCTGGGGCTCCACAAATCCAGCCCAGCAGAGCCAACCGCAGCACATGGCCGCAACGCCCAGAAACATCACCCAGAAAATCCCCATGTACACACATGGAGCATTCCAGAAGGTTGTTTGGAAACTGGGTTTTGAGCTGTGGAGAGTGACTTCTAACAGAAACAATACTCTGAGGGGAGACCTGGGTGACTGTTCAGGTAGACCACTGACATCACTAGCTCCAGTGAACACTACGCTCTGCAGTGTCTGCAGAGACTGCTCTCTTGCTGTGAAGTGCCAGGACGGGGGCACTCAAAAGCTAAAAAGCAGAGAGGCTTTGCAGGCCCCAACCAAAACAGTGATCTTTCTCCCTGGCTTTGAAGCCATTCCCAAGTTCAAAGGGTCACCAAGCAGATGCATCTGGAGGCCCCTGCACTTGTGGTGTGGGAAGCTCAGTGCACAAGCCAATGGAAAGAAGGGTACTGCTGATCCTCCCCAGAGTCCAGTCCAAAGGCCAGCATCGCAGCCCCACAGTGTTCCCCACAATGTGAGTGTGGAGAACGGAGTCTGGGATGGCCCTTCTGAGGTCACTACCTCCTAACTCTGCCAGATCGTTCAGCCACTGGAGCATCGACACTGACCCACCCAGGACTCACTCCAGAGGCCCTGAGTGTCAGGCATCACAGTGCCCACCCACCCAGGGTGGTCTGCACCTGGCCCCACAATCCACCCTCTTCCTGATGGCTCAGTTTAGCTCCCCATCCCTGGGGCAAAAGTATTCCACATTCTCTTCTCTTCCCTTTCAAAGGGAAAGGGAGGAAGAGAGCCCCGGAGGGAGCTAAACTTACATCAGAAGTCTGAATCTGGCACCCAGAGATGACCCTCCGGGGGATCTGTGGACCACATGCAATCACACACAAAGCGTCCATACATGTCCTTACTATGCTACTCTGGGGAGAGAGCTCCCAATAGTCATGGTTCAAAGGGGTTGGGAATCTGAACGAAACCACTGCCCTGGGCAGGCCTGACAGTCCGCCACCCTGCCCCTCTCAGCTCACAGCTTGGTCCCTTGAAGACAAGTCTGATCACTTGGGGCTGAAGCAGCTTCATATTCACATCAATCCCAGGTGATCGGAATTTCTGGAATGGGACCTGCCTGGGCACTTACCTGGGCAGCACACTCCAGCAAAACCACCACAGTTCAGGAGGCAAAAAACAGATGTGGTCTCGCTTGGGCATCCAAGACAGAGCCACCTGCACCTGCCTCACGTGCCTCCTCCAAGACCCTCCCTCCAACGCTCTCACTGGGACAGCCTGACCTTTACTAGTGATGGCTCCAGTCATTCACAAACACATACTGTGCACAGGCACTAAGCTGGGCATGGGAGGGACAAAGATACAAAGCCTGTCCCGGGGAAGCACTGACTAGCGGAAGACTGTCATAAATGAGGGGCAGAAGGCCCTGAAGGCGGCAGTGGGCCAGGAGGAAAGAGGATGGGCTTTCCAGGCAGAGGTGGAAAACTGCCTGGGATAGTGCCCAGACAGAGGGGATTGGAGCTCAGAGTGCAAGTCCCAGCTTGGTGGAAGAGGAGTCAAGGGCCCAGGGCCCTCTGGGAAGTCTGGACTTACAAGGGCAAGCCAGGGAAGGAAGGCGGTTGGCAGCAGAACGACAGGACTGGGCTTGCGCTTTAGATCACTCAGGCGGGGGAGATTGGAGGGAGGCAGCGCTCAGCTGGAGGAAGA